GCCGCCCCAGTGGCCCATTATCTCGGCGCCATTGACAGCCGTGGTCATGGGTTTGATCCACCACGGCCGTGATCAACATGCCGGTGATTTCCTCGCCGCAGGTCGGGGGGAGCCATCGCCTGCCCGACCCACTCCCGCAACTCCTTCCGGGTGGGCAACTGTTCCGGGAGACGCACCGGGCGCTGTCCTCTCCGTCCGGGTCTCTGGGTCTCCGGGCCTCCGGGTCACCGGCCCTGTCCACCATCTCCAGCAACTGGCACAGCGTTTCTTTCGGGCAGGTCCGTACCAGTGCCGCGTTGAGGCTCACATTGGTATCGTCCACCGCCTGCATTGCCAAGTGCACCCACTCGGAGGCAATTGCGGTCCGCACGCGGGTCATGCTGGAACAGTCCCTGATGCCTGCGCCAGTTAACGCAGACCATTTCGCTGAACTACGGCAACCGATAGTCAGCAATCCTCTTCCCACGCGGGCGTCTTCAATTCCGCCGTACACAACCTCGCATGGTGGCGAGGATCTCGGCCATATACTCTCCGATGCTAGATAAGGGTCTGCGGCTCTCGCAGGTCGTGCCCCCGAAGTACAGGGGCGTTCACTTAGTCTGGCTGGCACGTCGAGGTGTTGGCGAAGGGACGACAAGGAGCGCAACGTCGCCTTGGGCGCCAACCGCCAGAAAGCTCTTACCGACTACGCTCATCACTACTGTTTTGATTGGGAGGGCCGGAAGGCCGACACTTTTCCCTGCGCATAGACGGGCGAGCCATGGCTCCCGATGTCGTCCGCTCCCTGTCGAGAAGGCCCTCGAGGTCCTCAGGTGTACCGAAGCTGCAAGCTCACCTGATGCGGCATACCTGCGCGACACGGTTTCCTCTTAGCTGGTGGGAACGCGATCCAGTTGCGCTTGGCGGCAGACCTCGTCGCCGTTAAATGCCCAGCGCGGCTACCCCGGCCCTGGCGATGGCCTCGTCGTCGAGCCCGCTGGGCAGGCCGCCCACGCCGATGGCGCCGACCACGGCCCCGTCGCTGATAACGGCGACTCCGCCTGGAATCGCTATCACCTGGGGATCGCCGAAGGACTCAAGGGACCTGCCCGAGCTGCTGAGTTGCTCGGCGAAGGCGGCGGTATCCATGGAACGGACCGCGGAGGTGTAGGCCTTGCGAATAGCGAAGGTGGGCCTCAGGCAGCGGTCCATCCGGGCGTAGGCCAGCAGGTTTCCGGCATCGTCGACCACGGCCATGTGAGCGCGCGGTGGGTGGTCGGTTGTCGACTTTCGCCGCGCTGTCAGTTGTAACCGCACATGCCGCATCGCGTTCTGGGCCTGTTCCAAACTGAGCATGGGTTTGTTGTACATATCGTCAACCTCCATATAGTTGTTGTTGGGATAGCGCAGGCCCCTCCATTCTCCCTCTCCCTCCGGGGAGGCCTCCCGTCAGGTGCTAAGCTGCTTGTGCACAGGATTTCAACCTCTCCCCAACCCTTTTCCTCAAGGGAGAGGGTGAATGGAACTACCCTATGCCTAGAAGCCGGGCCGAAAAGCCCTGGATGGGGAGAGAGATTTCGGCAGTAAAGCCGGGGCGAAC